AAGATGGTGATAGAATACTTTTTTTTTCTTTCGGCACGTTTTACACTGTAACCCAGGACAGATGCTGTTAGGAGACCCTGCTCAGTGCCATGCGACTCCCTGCCCATCATGCTTGAAGAGCAGGTGGCCTGCTGGGACTTCTAACCCTGCCTCTGTTTTGCCTGTAGATCTGCATTCAGCAAGGGTGGAAGGCACCACACGGGCGCTTCGATATCCTGCCTCTGCTCCTCCAAGCCAATGGCAACGATCCAGAGCTCTTTGAAATCCCCCCGGAGCTCGTGCTGGAAGTGCCCATCCGGCATCCCAAGTAAGTCAGAGCAAGCCCCAAAACCGCTCGAGGGGATCAGCAGGACTGAGCTCCTCTGGTTTCACCCTAAGCCATCTCCTGTTCTTGGCCTTTCCTTGTCGTGGCTTGGGTGCTTCACCCAAGACCCTATTCCAGGTCTTCCCTCCACTCTGATGTAAAGCTGGAAGAGCATGGAGGTGGAAAGCAAGTTGTGTCCTTGTCTCAGGGCTAGTTTCCTTTTCCATGAAGACTGCCAGGACTTACACCACTCTGAAACACTCCTGATATATCACTTTCTCCCCATAAGCAGCCCTTACGGGAAATACTGCCTCCAGGAACCATTCTGCTCATGTGTCCTTCAGCCTGGTGGCTGGTAGCAAAGTAACCTCCACCATTCCCCTGCCTCCACCGGGGAATGGCTGATTGCCTAACCCTGTTGTATCCTGGCAGGTTTGAATGGTTTAAGGACCTGGGCCTGAAGTGGTACGGTTTGCCAGCAGTTTCCAACATGCTCCTCGAGATTGGAGGCTTGGAGTTTTCCGCCTGCCCTTTCAGTGGCTGGTACATGGGCACAGAGATTGGGGTCCGGGACTACTGTGACAACTCTCGCTACAACATACTGGAGGTAATTCCCCCTCCTCGGGGAGGCCAGGCACTCCTGGGGTGCCGTGGGTGTATGTAAAGTTACTGGGGAGCAGGCAAGACACTGGGAGAGTGTTGCCTTGAATGGAAGAGTACAGGACATCCAATTCTTCCTTAGACAGGGCAGTTACATTCTCCTGGAGCCACATGGCCAAGGGTGTGATGGGCTGGCAAGGGGTTTTTGTTTTGTGTCTTATGGGGCCAGCTGGTATCTATCACAACAAGTGTGTTGCCTATTGAGCTCCCCACAGACTTCTTAAAGCATCTTATGGATCAGCAGGCATCTGGTCATGTGCTTGATTGAGGTCAAGTGCTAAGATGTGGGGCTGAGAGGGTGCTGAGACACTTGGCAACTCCTCTGGAACATGCCTGCCCATGGAGACCCTCCAACTGCCCCCTCTGGAGTGCTCTACTGTGGCCTGGGGACTCCCCACACTGGGGACAGGGTGAGTCAGAGACAAAGCCAAGCCATGGGGAGCTGCTGGTGAGGAGAATCTGCACCCATCAAGGGTGGCTTCTAGCCTGTCCAAGGAGCATGCTGGGTTACTTAGAGCGGCTTGAGAGCTCGCTTGGAAACTAGAGAGGTGAGAGTGAGTGAGTGTGTGTGTGTGTCTGTGGGAAGGACTCCAGTTAGAAGAAACTGGCTGAGAAAGAACAGAGTTTGGGAGCAGCAGGGGGTCTGGCATGGGGAGGGTTGCAGGGATCTGTTCCTCCCAGCACATGGATCACCACCATCTCCTGCTGTCCCACAGATCCACCCGTTTCCTCTCCTCCCACAAAGACCAACTGCTCTTGATGGCCCTTTTTAGCAGCGTTTAGTCATCTTACTGTGCTTGGGGGAGGAAGGGAGGGCAGACTGGCCTTGCCCTATCATGGAGAGGAAAAGGCAGGACCACATCTTCTCAGAGGAAGGCAAAACGAAAGCCCTTCGTTGCAAATGTGCTGCCTTGCCCTTCAGGTGCCTTGTGTCAGCCTGGGTCCCTCCTGGGTTCCTCTCCCCAAGCAGAGATCTTCAGTCTTTGGTTCTTGGCCATTAAAAGCGCTCATCTTCTACCATGTTTTGTTATAGCAAGTGGCCAAGAAAATGAATCTGGATATGAGGAAAACCTCCTCTCTGTGGAAGGACCAGGCCCTGGTGGAGATCAACATTGCTGTGCTGTACAGCTTCCAGGTACCTGAGTAGCAGGACTCTGTTCTGTTTGGGTCAGGCTTGAGGGACACAGGGACTGGATAGAGCAAGTGTAGAGACATCTGTCCAAGGACAATGGCAGCAGCTGATACACTCAGCTGAAATTGGGCTGTGCCTTCCTAATTTTGGGCTGTTCCAGGAGCCTGCAGTGAAATTTAGTAATCTCTGTACCCTGGATGTTGCAAAGGCAGCACTACCAGCTTTTGAGTTCTGCCTGTCCAGAGGGAGTGCCCCAAGGGGGCGAGATCCAGCCCTTCTGTCCTGTCCATGGGGCAAGAATTGGCCCAGGTTCTCCTCCCACCTGCACTTAAAGGTCGAGTAGCAAAACTAGTCCTTGGCAGCCCAGCTTCAGAGGGTGGGAGTCCTTCCTAGAGCTGGATCAGAGCTGCTCCTTGAGCTGTGCAAGCCATAAAAGAGTTCCTCCAGGGTCTGAACAGAGGATGCTCCATCCTGTTCATTCCATCTTAGTCTTTGCATGGCCCATGACAAATAACAGCAGGAGCAGCCATCCTATAGCACATCTACTCAGGAAGGACAAGGGCAGCTTTACAGTCTCCTTGGGAAGACCAGGGTCAGCAGCCACCCTGTGTCATCTATAAATGTACAGTCCTGTAAGACCATTGGAGTGAGGCATATTTGGGTCAAACAACTCCAAATGTGAAATCTCAGCTTTTGCCTTCTGGGGTGTATTAGCCCACAGCTGTTGGCTCTGCTCTCTTCTCCCTCCAACAGAGCGACAAGGTGACCATTGTGGATCACCATTCAGCCACTGAGTCCTTTATCAAGCACATGGAGAATGAGTACCGATGCCGTGGAGGCTGTCCTGCTGACTGGGTGTGGATTGTCCCACCAATGTCTGGCAGCATCACCCCAGTTTTCCATCAGGAAATGCTCAACTACCGTCTCACACCCTCCTTTGAGTATCAGGTACTGTCGGCACCCTACCTTCCACCAGGGCTGCGTGCCCAAAGCTATAGCCAAGAGCAGGGTGGGAGATGGAGCTCAGAAGATCCAAAAAGGAGAGGGACACAATCTAATCCCTCTAACAAGCTGTCTCTCGAGGCAGTGAAGTTCATGAACAAGTTTAATTGGTGATTCCTCCTAATGTGGTGCATAACCCCCTGGATGTTGCACCTTTTCACAGGGGAATGGCTTTTTGGCCCTCTGTGGGAACATGGGACTCCTAAGGCCCCAACTTTTACCCTTGGAAGCAGAACTAAGCAGATCTCCTCCCTTTGGAAGTGCCTAATTTTGCACTTTGATGGGTAGGGGAGGAAATGACCTGGTAGTCACCGTATCCTTCTTCTCTCCAGCCTGCATGTTTGAGTGGATG